CATCGGAGGTTCGTCTCCCATGGCGCATACCGATGAATGACTTTTTCATGTAGCTCTTTTCAGTAGCGTTGCTTTGCTTGAATTGCCAAACCTCACAGTTTCATTTGGGCTTCCATGGGCGAGGTTTGCTTTCCTCTGGCAGTTTTCAGGGGGGTGATACAGCTGTGCTTGTGTTTGGCTGACAGACCCAAACTCTACAGCTTCCGCCAGTTGGAAAACAAACCCCAATACTTAAATGATATATATATATATATATATTCAATATATATGTTTGCTTATGGTTTGGCAATTGAAGATGCCTGCAATATGCATGTATGAGTGCAATGCAGTCTGTAGACCATTTTGCATTGGCTGTTGCTTGGAAAGTTTGAACGGTCAGTGTGTTTACTCACTGTTGTTTCAACTTGACAACATACGCCACTTGGGCTCAAGCAACAGCCAGCATCCAGCTTGCATTTTCAACCCCTCCCTCCACTTCCCTTTGTTGATAAGGCCCGTTTTCTTTGTGGGGGGCGTGCTTTTCTTTGAGGATCCCCTTCTCAAACGTGCTTGGCAAGCGGGTCCGTCGCTCACCTTTTGCTTTACGGTCATCCTCAAAGAGGATGGTAGGGTCTCTACTCAGTTTGGACATGACTGATGTCCAGCAGTGCATCGTGACCACTGCAAGCACAGCCAACCCGGTCGGCCGTGCCACGTACCATTTCCTATCGGGCTTCCTCGTTTGCGCAGCTTTCGCATATGGCTTTTTATTGTGGCAGATGAGACGAGCGCGCATTTCTCTGCGCAATGAGGTCCTTCTTAATTTGGACACGCGGCTGCAGGAGCTTCGCGACACATGTCTGCAGTTGCGCGATGATGTTGATCAACGCGGGGTGGCCCTTGATGCTTTGCGGTCAGCCAGGCAGCGTTCAGAAGACAGTATTGCTTCGCTTGCGCATTTGACTGGCTGGCAGCTACATGCGCATCATGCGCAGCTTGACCGTCTGAACCGCTACATTATTGCAGACTTTTACGACTCCACTCCTATGGAGCAGCCAGCGTATGAGGAGGCTTTCTCAGGCCCTGGTTTCCGCCTTTCCTTGAGCCCGCCACGCTAGCGTGTAGGCTCGGGCAGGCCCTTACTAGAGCCACTTTAGCGCAGGAGCCATTTGCGTTTTTCCGCTTCTTGTACAGCTTTGCTTCCCAATGCGGGGGTGATACAGCTGTGCTTGTGTTTGGCTGACAGACCCAAACTCTACAGCTTCCGCCAGTTGGAAAACAAACCCCAATACTTAAATGATATATATATATATATATATTCAATATATATGTTTGCTTATGGTTTGGCAATTGAAGATGCCTGCAATATGCATGTATGAATGCAATGCAGTCTGTAGACCATTTTGCATTGGCTGTTGCTTGGAAAGTTTGAACAACAACGGATCAATATTGAATCAACTTTGAATCACCTTGAGTCAACAATGGATCAACATTGACAGGTCCACCTCTCTCTTTAGAGGGGGTTTCCCAAATGGATTCTATTCTACCTGGGAGGCTCCTAGCACTTGTCCGTCCAGGAAACCACCTCGTCCTGCAAAGGATTCGAAACCTGAAACGCTGCGTGGAGGCGTGTGGCTGCAAAATAATGACCCCGAGATATGCGCCGCAAATTTGGCTCCAGGTTGCATTTCAAGCGATGTCAAGCTTTGCCAAAGGAAACCCCTTTTCCCTTTTTTTTTGGGACCCCTTTTTTGGGACCCCTTTTTACTTTTTTTTTTGTTTTTTGTTAGCCCTGCAAAGGTTGGCTCGCTTGAAATGCAACCTGGAGCCAAATTGCAAGCATATCTCGGGGTCATTATTTTGCAGCCACACGCCTCCACGCAGCGTTTCAGGTTTCGAATCCTTCGCAGGACGAGGTCGTTTCCTGGACGGACGAGTGCTAGGAGCCTCCCAGGTAGAATCGAATCCATTTGGGAAACCCCCTCTAAAGAGAGAGACACCACCTTAAATGTGTCAGCCTTCAGAGTTTTTGAACAAGGATCTTAAAACAAGCCATAGCCTTCCCAGCCTGTGAGCTCCAAAATTTTGGAAATTTCAGCCACACACTGCCCTCAGGACATCCCGCGTGTGCCAGCACAAGCAAAACAAAACCACACAGGTACGTATCGCAGATCCGAATAACCCTCATACCAGCCTTTCCAAGTCTTCGGCGCACGCATTTGGGCTGCCTGGTGAGAGTTGGCTTGGGAATCTCTCTCCTGACTGGAACCTGGTCACTGCAATCCCAATACAGATGAGTTAAGGTATGTTGCACTGCTCCAAGCTTGAACCCAAACAAGACCACCCAAAAGAACAATGATTCTTTTTACCGGGATTGCTGAAAGTAGCACTGCTTCCAGGGCACGGTGCGCCTGGAGCAGAGGTGCGTTGACCCCCCGTGAAACTCAAAGGCAAGACAATGCGTGTCCTTGCAAATGCAGGCAAGCTGCAGCTTGCCCAAACCTGCATGATCCGAAGCCATGCAGTCCAGAGACCATAAGCGGTCCGGAGACCTGGTGGTTGAGCGGTCCGGAGACCGAGTGGTTTCAAATGAAACAGCAAGTTTGGGTCAGGCTAGGACCACCGCGTAGGGGTAGATTTCAGGGAAAAGATTCATAGCTTAAACTCAAACAAGACACTCCGAAGCGGCCGTTCTTTTTACCGGAATTGCTGAAAGTAGCACTGCTTCCAGGGCACGGGTGCGCCTGAAGCAGGAGGTGCGTTAACCCCCCCTTCAGTGTTTCAGGCAACCTCGGTGTCAGCGAGCCAGCTGGGCCGGCCTCACCCCCTTTAGAGTGGGGTTGTACCTGGAGGGCAAGTGTCCGCACGACATTGTGAGCATCCTGTTCTCAGGGACTCTTTTTTTGTCCAACGGTTTTGTCAAGCTGCAGGCACTGCTCGAGGGCCAGAGCGCATCTATTGGACACAGCTGAATGCCTCTGCCGACAGTGCAAGACCCGCAAAGCTGAAGCGTACGCGACTCTCAGGGCGATGGCTGAATCGGGCCAACCGACCTCTGCTGAGGTCGTCTGCCCAATCATTGCTCCTTTCCGGAACGTGTTGGCTGAAGCAGCACGTTGTGCGCAAGAGCCAGAAGGCTGTTAACTGCACGAAAAGAGTGCAACCGGCCAGAGGTCGTGAACATTTTGTTAAGGCATTGCCGATTGTTAGTGCTGAACGAGTGGTGCCCACCACCAATATGGCTGTGGGGGCTTGCAACAGTGCCAACTGCGCCAGCGTCTTGAAGCAAGCGATGTACCGCTGTCCAGGCTTGACAAGGCAGGGCTACTGCCCGTATGTCCTGCATGTTCCCGGTTTCGGCAAACCAAACCACTTGCGAGGAAGTGATTGCCCAGCTCCCCATCCCTACCAAGTTGTCAAGCAGGCAAGCATGTCTGATATGCTTTGTGAGATGAGGGTAGTATTCGGAAATCCCCTTGCGAGGACCAGCGCAGCAGAGTGATTGCTGTAATGTTGCAAGCAAAATGTGGGAATGTGCGCATTGACAAGTTTAATCAGGGGCCCAAAATGTTTGCCAAGTACTATAGCAAGACAGCAAGGATTCTGCTGGCGGTGCTTAATGGCAAAATTCACGTCTTAAGCATGTGTAGTGAGAATCCAAAAATTATTAGGACGTTCACCTCTGATGGAGCTGGACGTAGCGGCAAAGACAAATACATGGGCAATCTGAAGCACCTTTGGATGGGAAGAGATGCATTTGAGTGCTTCTCGAAACGCATCTTCTTTGCCCAAAAAAGAGCAAAACACCCTTATTTAGCCGTACCTGTTACTCTTTGAGCCTACTAACTTCTTGAGTTCGCCGAGCAACTTGAGCCGATATGGTCTTGAGCCAAAGGGGTTGCGGGAATTAATTCTCGGGCAACTTGCTGTGCCAACTGCAAAAAGGATGGAATGGGGAACATCAAGAGCCCCAAATGCAGGTGCGGCAGAGCCCAACCTGGTTTAGGGATGCCAGGCAACGCTCGGGCAACTTGCTGTGCCAACTGCAAGGAGGATGCAGGTGTGGCAGAGCAATACCATATTTCGGGATGCCAGGTGATGCTCGGGCAGCTTGCTGTGCCAACTGCAAACAGGATGGGATGGTGAACATCAGGAGCCCCAAATGCAGGTGTGGCAGACCAACCTTTTTTCGGGATGCCAGCTGATGCTCGGGCAACTTGCTGTGCCAACTGCAAGCAGGATGGAATGGTGAACATCAGAAGCCCCAAATGCAGGTGTGGCAAAGCAATACCATATTTCGGAATGCCAGGTGATGCTCGGGCAACTTGCTCTGCCAACTGCAAAGAGGACGAGATGGTGGACATCAAGAATGCCAAATGGTGTGGCAGAGCCCAACCTTTTTTCGGGATGCTAGGTAACGCTCGGGCAACTTGCTGTGCCCGCTGCAAGGATGGGATGGCGGACATAAAGAGCCCCAACAGGTGTGGCAGAGCCATACCATGTTTCGGGATGCCAGGCGATGCTCGGGCAACTTGCTGTGCAAATTGTGTTTTCCATGACCAGGAGAGCTTTTGCTCAATGCCTGCTAAGTTGGTCGCGAGACATGTTCTTGTTCGTCCCCATGCTTGGCGTACACAGTTTTTGGGGTCTGTCTCCCATTCGCACACTTCGCTGCTGAGCCGTTGGTTCTCAGCCGACAACAGATAGCGCGCCTCAAGCAAGGGCATGTGTTCGGCGATCAAAGACGCATTCAAGTTGACGCGCTCCAACTTGCAGCAAAGTTGCGCTCACCTGTCCTCCTTGAAAGCGCCTTGACGCTTGGCCGTGTGTTTGCCACAGGGAAGCTTGCCGCAATGGGATCAGTTGGCATCCTGGCAGTTGCTGGCTTTGTGACGTTCTATCTTTCTGACGTTCCCAGGCCCAGGCAGTCCCTCAGCCCACTGGAGAAGAGACATCTTCGTTAAGCCAAAGCGTGGCTTCCGAGCACAAAGCGCAAGAGGAGGCTGCGTTCTGGGGAAAGCATGATGATCGCTTGCAATGGCGAATTTCCTGGACAAGCATCCAACATTTTCAGCATAAGCTCCATAAAGTTGCAGATGTGGGAACCCTGGCACGTTCATTGCTTGGAGAAAAAGTCTGGAAAGAGGCGTGGATTAACGCTGGGATGCGGGCCCATGGCGGGCGAGTACCCAATGCTGAAATCATTCGGGGTGGACAGTATCGAGGCATACGACACTGCAGAGGGGATGTATCAAAAGTTTTTGGAGTTTCAGCCAAACCCAGAGATTCCTGCAACCTACCATGTCATGGATGTGAATGAGATCCATTTGGAGGAAGGGGCATTTGATGCGATTTACATTCAACACGCATATCATCACTTCGAGCGCATCGAACACGTTGCTGAAGAGATCTCCAAGGTCTTGAAGCCCTCAGGTGTGTTCGTCATCACCGATTGGATTGGGCCAAATTTCCTGCAGCGGACGCCACAGCTTGCAGTGATGAACAACCTTTGGCATCATATGCCAGCCAAGTGGCGCACAGACCGCATGGATCGTTCATTCCGAGCCTGTGCTGCCTGCCAAGGAATCCTTGCCAGGAGATCAAAGACGTGCTGGACGCGCGCTTTGAGAAGATGCAATGCGTTTATGCGGGCATTTTGTACCCTATGTTTGAAGGCAGGGGCGGGGTGATGCGAACTGCAAAGAGGACGGGATGGTGGACATCAAGAATGCCAGGTGTGGCAGAGCCCAACCTGTTTTCGGAATCCGAGGTGATGCTCGAGCAACTTGCTGTGCCAACTGCAGAAAGGATGGAATGGTAGACATTGTAAGTTTGAGGTGCCTTGTGTGTGGAAAGTGCGCAAGTTATCCAGATGCTACTGGCAAACGTCGGCAATTCTGTGCAGTGCACGCGGCAGAGGTTGGTGCACACGTACTGTCGGCATTGAAGTTTTCGCGCGTAGCAAGCGATTGTTTCGACATGTTGGAAGCGGAGGTAGGGTACAGGTTCACTTTTCGGCACAGATTCGATGCAGCTGCCGGCACTTGTTCTGGCAAGGAGTTCGCGGGTCTGATTGCAAAGCGTGCTTTTCTGCCGGATGCATACCACCCGGAGAGGCGTGAGGTGGTTGAATTTCTGGGGAATTACTATCATGGGTTTCCTGTGGAGCATCCACGGCTACTTGGTAGCATATATCGCGGCTTCATTGTGTGTCGTTTTGCCACCAAAGTACAAGCACGTGTTTCTGTCGTCAGCTCGCAATCGTTCTGTTTCAAGGCATAGCAGCTTCATTTGCGTTGGCAGCAAACCGGCGCCGGACGTCTATCGTGACACCATGGAACGCCTCGATCTGTTCACTGCGGAGGGGCTCCGCGTCCTTTACATTTGGGAGCACGAATTCGTGGAGTGGCGGAAGCGAGCGTCTTGGCAGAACCTGGGTTGAGCTCTCCTGAAGCGATTCCAATTCCGATTTTGCCAATCGGCAGCACTGCCCTGCACATAGCACTAGTTTGCATGACTCTAAATTGACGCAGCATCTCATAAAAACATGGCAGAAGAAACCGGTTCCCGGCTCGTTTGGCCCTGGTTTCCCTTACTGGATCCGTCTTTTCCGTTGCCAGAACCCGGCCTTCCGCCCGCTCGTTGCAAGTGGCCAGTTCCCAGCCTCCCGCGAAAGCCCAGGCCGCCTTTGGGGATGCTTTGCCTATCACCAGCCTCCTGCGCCGCCATGAGCCAAACCCCATGGGCCGAAAAGAAGACTGCGCCTCTTGGGACCCTGTGGTCTAGTTAGTGGCACCTTCTGTTTCTTTGGCGGGATTTTTCTTATTCTTACTCAAAGGAAAGTCCTTTTTTGGTCAGGGTTATGGGAATTGCGCTGGAAGGGCGTTGTCTGATACAGCTGGAAGGCCTTGGCAAATTCACTGTTTCACAAGATGTTTCTGAAGAAATCCTATCTGAAGTGTAAAATCTGGAAACCGTACTTGAACCCTTGGCGAGCAAGGCGCCCGAATCTGACAGAGATCCAAGGAATTGGGCTTAGATCTTGTGGAAACGAACCTGGGCTTCCGAAGGCGCTTGCAGTGAAAATTCTTTCGTTGTTTGCTTAGTGGCAGTAAGTTGCTTCAAAGACTCCCTTGCATTCTTTGAGGCAGAGGCAGCTGTGTGTTTGGCATTGCTGGAGATGTATCACCCCTCTCACATTTATACAACATGCATGAATATACACATGCGCAAATATACGCCATGTATAATGCCATATAAATGTATATATATATATATATATATTCACATGTGCATGTTTTACGTACATGTTTTGTTACATGTAGTTGTAATTACAGCCATAATTATTATGTTGATAAATTGTATGTTACAATGAACCCATGGCTATGCTGGGTCACGTAATTGCCGAACATGGTGAACTCCGCCATGTACCATTCAACCTGCTACACTAGCTGATGGCACCCTTGGTTGGCTGGATCAACAGTAGGCCATTGAGAGTACCGACAAGGCCGTTGATATTGGTTCATTGTACTCAAAGCAGGATTGGTGCCGAACAACGTTAACAATTCCACAAGTTCCTCATTTGTACAGGACGGCGCAAGGGGATGGCTATGCGCCTACTGTGACGGAAGCTGACAGATTTCTTTCAGATACTCTTTTTTCAGGTTTCTTTTCAGTTGGTGGGAGGGCTTCTGTGCCTCTTTTTGGCATCAGCATCCAGTTTCTCCAAAGCAACATCTTCTCCAGGAGCCGGGGTTTCACAGAATTCCCTATGTCTTGTCACTTCTCGGCACAAAAGGACTCTCCAGGAGCCGGGCTTTCACAGAATTCCGTGTCTTGGAGTCGGCACAAGGCCTCCCTTCTCACCGCGTGGCGACTTCTTTTCTCCCGTGGTCCCGGCCCAGTGACGGTGGCGGGTGCCATGGCTTTGCGGAGCCTGCGCCGCCTGGCCCTGGCCCAGGCGCGCTGGAGGGGGCAGGGTGTGTCCTTCCATCCGGCACGCCGCCGTTTCTTCGATGAGGTCTGGGGGTTGTCCTTCTTGGGGCTTTCTGAGAAGATTCAAGAAGACGAAGGGTCCTTGTTTTTGGACAATTTCAAGTCAAATCCTTTGCACTATTGCAATCCGATGTTTGTCGCCCTTGTGTGCTGTTTTCCGCGAGGGTGGCTTGACTCAGACAACAATGGAACAGCATTTTTTCCACTGCCGGGCTTCGACAATCAATGATCACCGAGATATCTTCAAGTATTGTTCGTTAAGATTCGATGCCCCGCCCAGCTCATGCACCAGGGCAATGCCATGTCATGGGCAAGCCGTGTGCGCAGTCTCTGCCTCTCTGCCAGGCGCCACTGCTGCCATGTCCAGCGCAGGGCCGGCGCCCTTTTGCAGGGCTGGCGCTGGGCGGTGTCGGGGGACAGCGTGGAGGACGGCTTGGAATGCGCATTGTTTTATTTTGCCAGCCTTCCAATGGGTGAATAGGTGGCTTTTTGTGGTGCTGGTTGTAGCTGGCTGGGCTGCATGCTGGTTGTTGTTCCTGACGCGTCGTTTTTGTCTGAGGAGAGTGCGACCACGGCAAGCGCAGCACGCCCGACAGCTTCTTTGCCCATACTAGCCTGCCGTATAGAAAGCCGAACATTCGCGCAATGGCAGGGCGGTGTGGCACCTGTGTGTGTGGACGCGTGCTCCACCCCTGTTTTGGATTTCTGCATGATGCACGACCATCTTGCTGTGCAAGCTGCAAAGAGGATGGAATGGTCGATATCAGGCACCGCAAGTGCAGGTGTGGCGCAGCCAGACCGCATTTCGGGATGCCGGCTGATGCTCGGGCAACTTGCTGTGCCAAGTGCAAAGAGGATGGGATGGTGAACATTATGACCCCCAAGTGCAGGTGCGGAAGGGCCATACCATCTTTCGGCATGCCAGGTGATGCTCGGGCAACTTGCTGTGCCAACTGCAAGGAAGATGGGATGGTGGACATCAAGAATGCCAAGTGCAGGTGTGGCAGAGCCCAACCTGTTTTCGGAATCCCAGGTGATGCTCGAGCAACTTGCTGTGCCAACTGCAGAGAGGCTGGAATGGTAGACATTGTAAGTTTGAGGTGCCTTGTGTGTGGAAAGTGCGCAAGTTATCCAGATGCTACTGGCAAACGTCGGCAATTCTGTGCAGTGCACGCGGCAGAGGTTGGTGCACACGTACTGTCGGCATTGAAGTTTTCGCGCGTAGCAAGCGATTGTTTCGACATGTTGGAAGCGGAGGTAGGGTACAGGTTCACTTTTCGGCACAGATTCGATGCAGCTGCCGGCACTTGGTCTGGCAAGGAGTTCGCGGGTCTGATTCCAAAGCGTGCTTTTCTGCCGGATGCATACCACCCGGAGAGGCGTGAGGTGGTTGAATTTCTGGGGAATTACTATCATGGGTTTCCTGTGGAGCATCCACGGCTACTTGGTAGCATATATCGCGGCTTCATTGTGTGTCGTTTTGCCACCAAAGTACAAGCACGTGTTTCTGTCGTCAGCTCGCAATCGTTCTGTTTCAAGGCATAGCAGCTTCATTTGCGTTGGCAGCAAACCGGCGCCGGACGTCTATCGTGACACCATGGAACGCCTCGATCTGTTCACTGCGGAGGGGCTCCGCGTCCTTTACATTTGGGAGCACGAATTCGTGGAGTGGCGGAAGCGAGCGTCTTGGCAGAACCTGGGTTGAGCTTTCCTGAAGCGATTCCAATTCCGATTTTGCCAATCGGCAGCACTGCCCTGCACATAGCACTAGTTTGCATGACTCTAAATTGACGCAGCATCTCATAAAAACATGGCAGAAGAAACCGGTTCCCGGCTCGTTTGGCCCTGGTTTCCCTTACTGGATCCGTCTTTTCCGTTGCCAGAACCCGGCCTTCCGCCCGCTCGTTGCAAGTGGCCAGTTCCCAGCCTCCCGCGAAAGCCCAGGCCGCCTTTGGGGAGGCTTTGCCTATCACCAGCCTCCTGCGCCACCATGAGCCAAACCCCATGGGCCGAAAAGAAGACTGCGCCTCTTGGGACCCTGTGGTCTAGTTAGTGGCACCTTCTGTTTCTTTGGTGGGATGTTTCATATTCTTACTCAAAGGAAAGTCCTTTTTTGGTCAGGGTTATGGGAATTGCGCTGGAAGGGCATTGTCTGATACAGCTGGAAGGCCTTGGCAAATTCACTGTTTCACAAGATGTTTCTGAAGAAATCCTATCTGAAGTGTAAAATCTGGAAACCGTACTTGAACCCTTGGCGAGCAAGGCGCCCGAATCTGACAGAGATCCAAGGAATTGGGCTTAGATCTTGTGGAAACGAACCTGGGCTTCCGAAGGCGCTTGCAGTGAAACTTCTTTCGTTGTTTGCTTAGTGGCAGTAAGTTGCTTCAAAGACTCCCTTGCATTCTTTGAGGCAGAGGCAGCTGGGTGTTTGGCATTGCTGGAGATGTATCACCCCTCTCACATTTATACAACATGCATGAATATACACATGCGCAAATATACGCCATGTATAATGCCATATAAATGTATATATATATATATATATATTCACATGTGCATGTTTTACGTACATGTTTTGTTACATGTAGTTGTAATTACAGCCATAATTATTATGTTGATAAATTGTATGTTACAATGAACCCATGGCTATGCTGGGTCACGTAATTGCCGAACATGGTGAACTCCGCCATGTACCATTCAACCTGCTACACTAGCTGATGGCACCCTTGGTTGGCTGGATCAACAGTAGGCCATTGAGAGTACCGACAAGGCCGTTGATATTGGTTCATTGTACTCAAAGCAGGATTGGTGCCGAACAACGTTAACAATTCCACAAGTTCCTCATTTGTACAGGACGGCGCAAGGGGATGGCTATGCGCCTACTGTGACGGAAGCTGACAGATTTCTTTCAGATACTCTTTTTTCAGGTTTCTTTTCAGTTGGTGGGAGGGCTTCTGTGCCTCTTTTTGGCATCAGCATCCAGTTTCTCCAAAGCAACATCTTCTCCAGGATCCGGGGTTTCACAGAATTCCCTATGTCTTGTCACTTCTCGGCACAAAAGGACTCTCCAGGAGCCGGGCTTTCACAGAATTCCGTGTCTTGGAGTCGGCACAAGGCCTCCCTTCTCACCGCGTGGCGACTTCTTTTCTCCCGTGGTCCCGGCCCAGTGACGGTGGGGGGTGCCATGGCTTTGCGGAGCCTGCGCCGCCTGGCCCTGGCCCAGGCGCGCTGGAGGGGGCAGGGTGTGTCCTTCCATCCGGCACGCCGCCGTTTCTTCGATGAGGTCTGGGGGTTGTCCTTCTTGGGGCTTTCTGAGAAGATTCAAGAAGACGAAGGGTCCTTGTTTTTGGACAATTTCAAGTCAAATCCTTTGCACTATTGCAATCCGATGTTTGTCGCCCTTGTGTGCTGTTTTCCGCGAGGGTGGCTTGACTCAGACAACAATGGAACAGCATTTTTTCCACTGCCGGGCTTCGACAATCAATGATCACCGAGATATCTTCAAGTATTGTTCGTTAAGATTCGATGCCCCGCCCAGCTCATGCACCAGGGCAATGCCATGTCATGGGCAAGCCGTGTGCGCAGTCTCTGCCTCTCTGCCAGGCGCCACTGCTGCCATGTCCAGCGCAGGGCCGGCGCCCTTTTGCAGGGCTGGCGCTGGGCGGTGTCGGGGGACAGCGTGGAGGACGGCTTGGAATGCGCATTGTTTTATTTTGCCAGCCTTCCAATGGGTGAATAGGTGGCTTTTTGTGGTGCTGGTTGTAGCTGGCTGGGCTGCATGCTGGTTGTTGTTCCTGACGCGTCGTTTTTGTCTGAGGAGAGTGCGACCACGGCAAGCGCAGCACGCCCGACAGCTTCTTTGCCCATACTAGCCTGCCGTATAGAAAGCCGAACATTCGCGCAATGGCAGGGCGGTGTGGCACCTGTGTGTGTGGACGCGTGCTCCACCCCTGTTTTGGATTTCTGCATGATGCACGACCATCTTGCTGTGCAAGCTGCAAAGAGGATGGAATGGTCGATATCAGGCACCGCAAGTGCAGGTGTGGCGCAGCCAGACCGCATTTCGGGATGCCGGCTGATGCTCGGGCAACTTGCTGTGCCAAGTGCAAAGAGGATGGGATGGTGAACATTATGACCCCCAAGTGCAGGTGCGGAAGGGCCATACCATCTTTCGGCATGCCAGGTGATGCTCGGGCAACTTGCTGTGCCAACTGCAAGGAAGATGGGATGGTGGACATCAAGAATGCCAAGTGCAGGTGTGGCAGAGCCCAACCTGTTTTCGGAATCCCAGGTGATGCTCGAGCAACTTGCTGTGCCAACTGCAGAGAGGATGGAATGGTAGACATTGTAAGTTTGAGGTGCCTTGTGTGTGGAAAGTGCGCAAGTTATCCAGATGCTACTGGCAAACGTCGGCAATTCTGTGCAGTGCACGCGGCAGAGGTTGGTGCACACGTACTGTCGGCATTGAAGTTTTCGCGCGTAGCAAGCGATTGTTTCGACATGTTGGAAGCGGAGGTAGGGTACAGGTTCACTTTCCGGCACAGATTCGATGCAGCTGCCGGCACTTGTTCTGGCAAGGAGTTCGCGGGTCTGATTCCAAAGCGTGCTTTTCTGCCGGATGCATACCACCCGGAGAGGCGTGAGGTGGTTGAATTTCTGCGGAATTACTATCATGGGTTTCCTGTGGAGCATCCACGGCTACTTGGTAGCATATATCGCGGCTTCATTGTGTGTCGTTTTGCCACCAAAGTACAAGCACGTGTTTCTGTCGTCAGCTCGCAATCGTTCTGTTTCAAGGCATAGCAGCTTCATTTGCGTTGGCAGCAAACCGGCGCCGGACGTCTATCGTGACACCATGAAACGCCTCGATCTGTTCACTGCGGAGGGGCTCCGCGTCCTTTACATTTGGGAGCACGAATTCGTGGAGTGGCGGAAGCGAGCGTCTTGGCAGAACCTGGGTTGAGCTTTCCTGAAGCGATTCCAATTCCGATTTTACCAATCGGCAGCACTGCCCTGCACATAGCACTAGTTTGCATGACTCTAAATTGACGCAGCATCTCATAAAAACATGGCAGAAGAAACCGGTTCCCGGCTCGTTTGGCCCTGGTTTCCCTTACTGGATCCGTCTTTTCCGTTGCCAGAACCCGGCCTTCCGCCCGCTCGTTGCAAGTGGCCAGTTCCCAGCCTCCCGCGAAAGCCCAGGCCGCCTTTGGGGAGGCTTTGCCTATCACCAGCCTCCTGCGCCGCCATGAGCCAAACCCCCCTGGGCCGAAAAGAAGACTGCGCCTCTTGGGACCCTGTGGTCTAGTTAGTGGCACCTTCTGTTTCTTTGGTGGGATTTTTCTTATTCTTACTCAAAGGAAAGTCCTTTTTTGGTCAGGGTTATGGGAATTGCGCTGGAAGGGCATTGTCTGATACAGCTGGAAGGCCTTGGCAAATTCACTGTTTCACAAGATGTTTCTGAAGAAATCCTATCTGAAGTGTAAAATCTGGAAACCGTACTTGAACCCTTGGCGAGCAAGGCGCCCGAATCTGACAGAGATCCAAGGAATTGGGCTTAGATCTTGTGGAAACGAACCTGGGCTTCCGAAGGCGCTTGCAGTGAAACTTCTTTCGTTGTTTGCTCAGTGGCAGTAAGTTGCTTCAAAGACTCCCTTGCATTCTTTGAGGCAGAGGCAGCTGTGTGTTTGGCATTGCTGGAGATGTATCACCCCTCTCACATTTATACAACATGCATGAATATACACATGCGCAAATATACGCCGTGTATAATGCCATATCCGCCGACAACAGACGGCGTGTTGGACACAAAAAATGCTCCTTACCTCTTTACCTGTTGCCCCTCCCCTAACCCCTTTTCAGGGATTGCGGGGGGGGGGGGGTCCACGTACCACGCGGTGATTCGAAGACGCTTCACTAAATCTGTTCATTGTGCGGGCTTGCAGTTTGTCAAAAACATTGGGGTGTTCGATTCCCCCCGGGTGCGCTTTCGCATCCTTAGCAGCTCCAGCGGCACATCGCCAGCATCACCTGCATCATCCGCATCAGCGCCTGCCAAGGATGCGGATGATGCAAGTGATGCTGGGGATGTTGCCCAATGCTAGTGAAGGAAATGAAGGGGGGAAAGGGGGAAAGAATCTCAACAGCGAAAGGGGGGGAAAGATCTCAGGGAGGAAAGGGAGAAGATCTGGGGAAAAAATGCCTTAAGGGGGAAAGGGGGGAAAAGATCTTTGGGAGGAAGAGGGAAATCTTTCTTGGGGGGAACAGGCCCTAAGGGGCAATGGGGGGACAGGATCTTAAATGGGAAAGGGGGAAAAAGACTTTGGGAAGAGAAGGGTGGAGATCTTGGGGGGAAAAGGCCTTAGGGGGGAAACGGGGGAAAGGATCTTAAGCGGGAAAGGGGGGAAAAGATCTTAGGGAGGCAAAGGGAGAGGAACTCAGGGTGCGAAAAGGCCTTCGGGGGGACAGGGGGGAAAGGATCTCAATAAAGAAAGGTGGGAAAAGCTCTTAGGGAGGAAAAGGGAGAAGATCTCAGAAGGGAAAGGCCTTAGGGGGGAAAGGGGGGAAAGGATCTCAACAGGGAATGGCGGGAAAACATCTTAGGGAGGAAAAAGGAGGAAAAGGGATATGATTTCAGGGGGGGGAAAAGGCCTTGGGGGGGAAAGGGGGGGAAAGGATCGAAAAGCGAGAAGATCTCAGGGGGGGAAAAGGCCTTAAGATCTCAACACGGAAAGGGGGCAAATGATCTTAGGGAGGAAAAGGGAGAAGATCTGAAAGGGCCTTCGGGGGGAAAGGGGGGGAAAGGATCTCAACAGGGACAAGGAGAAAAGATCCTAGGGAGGAAAAGGGAGAAGATCTCGAGGGGAAAGGGGGAAAGGATCTCAACCGGGGGAAAAGATCTTGGGGAGGCAAAGGGAGAAGGCCTTAGGGGGGAAAGGGGGGAAAGGGTCTCAACAGGGAAAGGGGGGAAAACATCTTAGGGAGGAAAAGGGAGAAGATCTTGGGGGGAAAAGGCCTTAGGGGGGAAAGGGGGGGAAAGGATCTCAACA